TTTATTGATGTAGTAGCATGCTAAATGTGTTTAATTGATTACAAGTAGTATTATGCTAGATTTGGAATGGAAATTGTGATTTGGATGTTATTGGTGATTGAATTATGAAGCATGATTTATGTGTGATGGATTAATGGATGGAAAATTATAGTTTGGAATATTGTTTATGAACCACACTTTTATTTATGGCATATTAGAGAGCATGTTTAATTAAACTAAATGTTTAATTTGGTTTGGAATATTAATAAAAGGAAATTTTATTATGGTTCATATAATTTTACGGCTATTTCACCAAATGCCACTGAGTATTTACAAAAGTCACCAAATGCCATCAAAGTTTTCAAATTCACCAAATGCCACTGACAAACAATACAATGACACCTCGTGCCACTAATAGCATATGAACATTAGTTTTCCGTTAATGTAATTCTTATTTCACCAAATGTCATTACTTTGGAAAATTATTTCATCAAATGCCATTACTTTTTAAAATTAATACACAATAATAATTTATTTTAATGAATAAAAAATATATATTTTTCAATTTTCGTGACGAATATTGTTTGGGTAAGGTTTTGGGGGCATTTTGACCCTTTATGGGTACAAATTAAACTCGAAATTGGAAAAAAAAACCGTAAATACCCCGTTTTGCTTTTTTTTTTTTTTCCGAAAAAAAAATTACGATATCGACATACAAAACGGGGTATATATGTTATTTTTTAGTCAATTTCGAGCTTAATTAATTTCCTTAAAGGTTCAAAATGACTCCCAAAACCTTACCCGATCAATTTTGATGGTTAAAAATAACGACATGCTAATCGAAATATTTTTCAACACACAAAACGGAGCATTTACGTTTTTTATGTCAATTCTGAACTTAATTTGTTCTCATAAAGGATCAAAATGACCCCCCAAAACCTTACCCAATCATTTTTTTTTATGGTTAAAAATATAACGACACGCTAATCGAAATATTTTTCAACACACAAAATGGGCCATTTACGTTATTTTTTGTCAATTTCGAGCTTAATTTTGTGTCTATAAAGAATCAATATGACCCACAAAACTATACCCGAGCAATTTTTGCCACGAAAATGAAGAAAAAAAAATATTATTTTTATTAATTCAAATAAATAATTAAATGAACCAATCATATTATGATACGTGTCAAGATTTAATCTTAATGACTAACGGAGTTAACGTCCGTTAGTCATTAATGGCATTTGGTGAATTTCTTAAAAGCTCGATGGCATTTGGTGAATTTTGAAAACCTTGATGGCATTTGGTGAGTTTTTTAAGTACTCAGTGGCATTTGGTGAAATAGACGTAATTTTTATTGATGCTTTAAGCATGGGAAAGGAGCTATGTAAGTGTCTAAGTACATGAGAAATAAATTATATGTTGGTGCCTTAGTGCACTTAAGGTGTTTTTAACACCGAGGGATAGGATTTGTGGCGCTTTATGCGTTTAAGGTGTCATTGGCACCGAGGTAGAATTGAAAAGGGTTTAACATTAAATATTATGTGGTCATAATTATTCAAGAATTAAATTGGTATGTTTGATTGTTTGAATAATTATTGTTGATTGAATGATTATGGTTTGAGAGTCATCACCAAGTCTAATAATTTGTAAATAACGTAAAGCGAAAGAGATTACGCACCAAAACTCTTGGAACGTATATACCTTGAGTATGAACATATAGGGGGAGTTATGTGACTTTATATTTGATCATAACTTCTATTGGAGTATAGGACGCTATACATTCCTTTTATTATTATATTATGTGCAGGAATTCCGCCACTTACGAGTGGTTATTGATGCTGACACGGTTAGCTCCCGTGTCAGTAACCTTAATTTATTGGGAGAGGTTAGTGGGGAAACCCGTTCGATGCGTAATCAATGCTAATAAATTATGTAGTGTCTAGTGAGAAGTTTTGTTGAATGTTGTATGCTTGAAATAAACAGGTGCAACAAGGCAAGTTGTGTGTTGATAGGTAATTACATGTTAGTGTGTTTATTACGCTTATATACTCAGCTTTGTTGATTGTGTGCTTTGTGTGTTTGTTGGTCTTGTCTTTATCTTGGCCCTATGATGACCCGTTTTTAATGGAGAGTAGTGGAAACAAGTAGAGAGAAGCTTTTCAGGTGATGAAGCATAATCATGAATGTGCATGAGTAAAGACTGAAGAGCGAATCATCCTAGTTTCTATAAGTATATGATGTGTTTAATGCTTTAATTATTTATGATATTATTATTATGAATGACTAACGCAAAAGTTTTGAAGTTGGTTTGGTTTTTAATAAGGGCCTATAATGGTTCCAAGTTGTAGGTTGATTTTATTTTACTTCGTTTGACTTTAGTTTGACTTTACTTTCGTTGGTTGACTGTTTAAGTTGACTTGTTTTGAATGGTTTTGAAATTAGTCTTCCGCTGTATGTCTTTGTTAATTGCCTTAACCGTTTTCACGGTAGCGGCAATGTCTTAGATATTCCTATTTAAAGTTTTAAACAGGGCCAAACAAGTATTTTAAAATAAAGGAATTTCTAGGGTGTTACACTACGTGGCAGGTACAAGGTAAGTGGTGGTGTTTTGTGGGTCAACGTAGACCTCATTGCCAATCAATGTTACATGGCAAGTATAAGGGTATGCGAGTAGTAGGAAATTACGTTGCGAAAAATCCACAGGCTAGGAAGGTGGGTTACGGTGACTGGCTGAGAGGTGGGTGGCTGTAAAAGAAAAATTAAAAAGTTGGTTATTAAAATCAAAATTTTTATCAACGGTAATTATTGACAAAAGTTGATATTCGGTGAGTAATTCCTGATGAGGCCTTCCTCATTCTGAGGTCGCCCTAGTCAATCAAGCTGATTGACGAAATATTATAAATTAACCTCTTTTTTTGGGACAACTTTGCTATATAATTCACTGTTTTTTTTTTAAACTTAGATCTAGCATCACGATTTATAGTGACGACGACGAACCACCACCATCTTCGTCTACCCCTTGTCATCTCGCCAATCATCGATTATCACGCATAAAGCCACCACACTACCATCGTTATCCCCCCCTTCATTTTGCTTGTCAACCACGAACCACCGCAATCATCTCCGTCTTCTCTTGTTCGTATCAGCTGCCATTACCATCACACCCCCTTGTTCCTCTCTGAAAGGCCCTCTTTGCGTCCTCTTCTTCTTCCCTTCTTCCTCCTTCTTCGACAACCACTCCAATGCCACTTTGCGACTATAACAAAAAGACACCCTAGTAGCAAAATGGTGTCAATTAGGACCAATGTCAATCCCTTGGGGTAGCATCTTCTTCGTGGAAGCAATTTTAACCAATTTAGGTGGTGATGGCATTACTGTGATGGACTGATGAGGAGGAAGAAAGTGCAGTGAGGTGTAATGGAGGAGGAAGAAGAAAGGAAGAAAGTACAAACTTGGCCCCAAATAAATAAGTGAAATGTTTTATTTATCCCCTGATTTACCAAATACTAAGGGAGTGTTCTATTCACTTGATTTTTATCTATATGAACTTATTATATTTGATTAAAACTTATTTTAATTGGAAATTGTACTTAGTTAACCCTTATCAGAATTTACTTTTCCTGAATTGAACTTATATGAAATTATTGCAATTGAATCAAGTGAAAATAAGGTGAACAGAACCAACCCTAAATGATAAACATATTCTTTGTCGCCTGAAACTAATCCACAAATGGAATTATAGAGGAAATCATTTTACTTAATATATTTTGGCGGCAAAACGTTTCTAATTGCTCTTCATAGTTCATACACTCCTTACTTCGTACTTAGTTAGGGTTCCGTCACTTTCACACTTCCACTGTCTCATTTCCTCCCCAAATTCCTCCTTCTCTCTCTCTCTCTCCAATCTTCGGTGAATGTTTCAATGGCGGAAATTGCAGGAGAAGCTCCAGTAATGGCGGAATTCGCCGATGATCAAGCCAATTAATAAGAGCGTGGTGCATAAAATTTGCGCGGGACAAGTGATTTTGGACCTTTCCTCTGCCACTAAAGAACTTGTTGAGAACAGCTTGGATGCCGGCGCAACGAGCATCGAGATCGCGCTTAAGGATTACGGCGAAGAGTGGTTTCAAGTTATTGATAATGGTTGCGGCATTTCCCCCCAACAATTTTAAGGTTTGCCTTTTAATTTCTTTAATTTATGTAAGAATTCTAGCTAATTGTTGAAGTATTGAATTTTTTTGTTTATGTAATTAACACTTATGGTTATTTTTTTTCTTCTTTGTATATTTACTTGGATTTTTGCTAAATGGGTTGTGGTATTAATTGTTGTTTTTGTAATTTATGGTAATGGTATTTCACTCAGGTTTTATAGTTCACGTAATCGTTCATTCGTTATGTAGGGGGCATTTGGTATGTGGAAATGAGAAATTGAGAATATGAGGATTGGAGTGTGGGATTGAGCATGCAAATTTGTGTTGGGAATTTGTTGTGTTTCTTTGCCCATTTTAAATGGTTTGGGTAGTTAAGGGAAGCAGATGATTCACTTCCCTTAGGCAATAATAATATGATAGTCAAGGCCATTATTTCCCCACTCCCAAAACCCGCCTCCATTTCCTATTCCCAACTAACAAACATGGGAATTAAGTCAAATTTGGATAAAAATTATCACTTCATCAACATTAAACAAACTCACCTAAGTCATTTTTTTTGGATGGTGAATGCTATATACACGTAGAGATTTTGGAGGTTTTGTCCCGTTGATTCCAATTGGCAATATTAAACTCTTAGCGTGTATTGCTATCTCACTTTGGGATGTAAAAGATTTTGTTTATTTTATTGTGCAATCATAATGTATACAAGCCTTTTGTTGCTTGTAGGTTTTTTTCTTTTAATGTCTCATATTTTTATTGAGCTACAATTATTGATCCTACAACCCTACGATTTTCCCATCTCTCCTCCTCTTGGATGTAGGATGGATAGGTGAAAAACTATTACTTGATCTTTAGTTTCAGCTTGGTCAAATATGTCATAGTTGTCATTTTTCGCTGTGTAATTGATGCATATTTTTAGTTGTTTTATATCTAGTAAGAGCTTTGTGAAAATTAATGAAGTTTGATCAAGATGTGCTACTTTTGAAATTTATAGAAGGACAACCTTTTTCCATGTACCACATGTTTGGCTACTTTGGATTGTCATTACTATATTCTCAAGTTAAAAATTCACTCCCCTCCTTTTTTCCTTTATGAACCATGTACTATTTGGTTCTTGTTTATAGAAGAGTTAAGTAAGAGAGAAAGTAAAGACGAGAGTTGCTATAAGAAAAAAGATGGAAACAGTAAGAAGATAAAGTAGAAAGTAAAGAGATAGTGAAAAGGTATAAAATTGTGTATTGAAGGGGTTAAGATGGTAAGATATGTTTTGCTAAAAATAGAATATAGTAGAAGTGAGTGCATAAAAAACACTTCAAGATGGAAAAGTGGGTATATAAAATAGAAAAGATACATAATCTATGAATGATATTTATGGATAAACTATATGTTTCAGAAATGACTTATCAGCTTAATCCGAGGAAAGTTGATCAAGCAATAGCCAACGTCGTAAAACTCAGAAGTTTTATGTACCCAAGGGTGGAAAAAATGTTTTCCCCCCTCCCTTCCCCCTCTTCACGAATAACAGTCAGATTGAACCGTTGAGTATCAACTAGCAAACCATAACTATTCGAAGAGACTATGAAAATATGTTAATATATAGGCAAGAATAACCGAGTAACTTGTGAAAAAGCATGTGAACAGGTCAATTCTTCAAATGAATTGATGCACATGGCATGCATTTTATGGGGATGATACCGCTTTTTATAATCTTTATACTTAAAAAATGAAAAAAAGGTCGTGGAGCAATTTCTTGCATAAATACTCTTAGTGGCTTTGGATTGGGAAATATTATTGTTGATTTAGGTGAAGATAGTGAATAAATTATATTGTGTGAAGAGGATCTCAAGTTATGACTCTCCTTGTCTTTCACTTTATTGTAGCACCATTGTTTTTTAGGGTTCTGTGTTACAACAATATCAATATCGGTTGTAGTGTAGGGAATGTCTAAATGCTACAATGCAACATGAAGGATATATTAATGTAGAGGAAGTAAGGGTTTTCATATGCAATGTGCAAATAATGGTGGTGGAAGCATGGAGCTATTATTCTTTTGCAATAAAGGATCTTTGTTTCTCTTGCATGCTTTGTTGATAATTTTTTTGAATATCTATTTATTGATATCATGGCTTAGTAATGAGATACATTTGCATCGGAGGGTAGAGGGGAGAAGGGAGCAATGGTCTTCATATCTGTAATCAAGCAAAGAAACCTTGTGAACTTCTCATTCTGCTGATGCCATTAATTATGTCAGTACTACTTGGTAAATTACATTCCTGAGCAGAAAACTCTGCCATATGATGTATTTTCCAAGGATATATCTTGATTTTTGGGAGCTCTTTGAGGCAAAGGTTCTGGACATCTGCCATGGAAAAGGTTATATAGTAGTAAGCTTATTGGGAGGTAGATTTTTATTTTTATCAAAACCTACATGCCTCTCTTCTGATTGGGCTTGCCAAAGTGTCTAGTATGTATCCCGCACAGCTTCCATCATTATGGAGCATTAGTGCAATGGGGAATCTAATCCAAAGAACGAGCTCATTACGCTAGAAGAATGCCATGGAGTGACACATACATATGAAGAACCCTATTGCTAATTTTGATATATCTGGTCAGATAAGATTTATTTGGTGAAAATTTTTCTTGTCTTTTTTCTACAAACGAAAAAGAGTTTCTATTTGTAATGGACTGAATTTATCCCAGACAAGATTATTGAACTATTTAATCTAAAGGCAAGAGCTTGGATATTTGATTGAAAAATAAAGAAGGATACAAAAGTGATAACTTGAGGCTATCAGTCTCACTAGCAGCTTTAGGCTACAATTCTCTCACAAATCATGAGTCAAAGTTCACATAACATCCTACTGTTCCATTGCTATGTTTTTATACCAAGCCCTCTCCCCATACAAAGATACCCTAATCGTAATTGCATTTGTCCTGTTCTGCTACTGCTACAATCTCCCCTTAGTGCTCTATTGATTAGCTTTGTCTTCTTCTGCTGAAATGTTCTGCCCTCCTATTGGCTGTTGCTAATTGTCATGTTGTTTCCTCACTTCAATTGGCTTCTTTCTCCTTCTAGCATAGATCCGAATAGGTGGCTGTGGTGTTGGGCTAACCCGGTTCATTACACTATTGGTATTGTCCCGTCTTAGAACTACAATGGACTAAATTCATTTTCTAATCATGGAAAATTTTGAAGTGGAATTCTAGCTTTTTAAGGGTTCATAGGAAACAACTTTTGTAGACATACTATTTACTACGACAAAGCTACTACTATTATTATTATTATTATTATTATAATAATAATTATTATTATTATTATTATTATAATAATAATAATAATTATTATTATTATTATTATTATTATTATTATTATTATTATTATTATTATTATTATTATTATTATTATTATTATTATTGATGATGATGATGATGATGATGTTGGCAAGAGCTTTGTGAGAGTCATTCTACAGCTTATTATGTGATGGCTTACTAATTACTACTAGGATTTATCAATTTTCTTCCAATGCTGAGCTGAGGGCATGGCTTCTGACATTCACTTTACTTAACTTAAGAATGCTTTACTATGCATAAAAATATGTTGGTAAAATTGCAAGGAAATTTGTTTGTTAAGTTTTCATTCTATCCATTAAGTTGATTAGTGCTTGGGTGATAATCTGGCCTTAATTTTAATGCAGATGATGAAATTTTTTATTTAATGTTATGGTTTTGGTGTAGGTTCTTGCTCTTAAGCATCATACTTCAAAACTGGCTGATTTTCCTGACCTTCAGTCTCTTACAACATTTGGCTTCAGAGGTGAGGCACTGAGTTCCCTTTGTGCGCTGGGGAGATTGACAGTGGAAACTAGAACAAAAAATGAGTCTGTTGCTGCACACCTGACATTTGATAACACTGGCCAATTAGTAGCTGAACATAAGACAGCACGGAAAGTTGGTACTACAGTAACTGTAAAGAAGCTGTTTTCTAATTTGCCTGTGCGTAGCAAGGAATTCAGTCGTAATATCCGTAAGGAATATGGAAAACTTGTATCTTTATTGAATGTGAGTAAAAGATGTTGTTTATATTGCTTTTAATTGTTGTTGAAATAGATAATAGGTGATATTTTAAAGCTTTCATGCAAATTGAAATATGAAGATTCACCTCCTCCCCCAATCATTTGCTTGGAAAATTTATTAATAGCTTCTGTCTTTTATTGGCCTTTTGTAGTATGATCTTGGAGTCTCTGGAAATTGAAACTATTTTTAATATAATTCAACTGCATCTACAACATGAAAATCCTGAATGATCTGACTGATCTTGACTTTACGTTTCTTAACCTTGTTTCTTCAGGCCTATGCCATTATTGCAAAAGGAGTTCGATTTGTTTGCACCAATATGTCTGGGAAAAGTGCAAGATCTGTGGTCCTGAAAACCCAAGGAAGTGGATCGCTCAAAGATAACATCATAACACTGTTTGGCATGAGCACATTTACTTGTTTAGAGCCACTGAGTATCTCTTTGCCAGGTAACTGCACAGTTGAGGGCTTTGTCTCTAAATCAGGTTATGGCAGCGGACGAAATATGGGTGACAGGCAATTCTTTTATGTTAATGGCCGGCCTGTTGATATGCCAAAAGTAGGTAAACTTGTGAATGAGTTATATAGAGGTGCTAACTCACGACAATATCCCATTGTGGTTCTAAACTTCATTGTTCCGATTATGGCATATGATGTAAATGTGACACCAGATAAGAGGAAGATTTTTTTCTCTGATGAAGGTTCTATTCTACAATTTCTGAGAGAAGCTCTGGGGATGATCTACTCAGCCAGTTCTGTCACTTATAATGTTAGGAATATAGATGCACCTGATGAAAAAGATGATCACTTATCTCCGCGCCCTGTGGGATTGCAGCTGCCCTCTGAGCAGTGCAAGTCATCAAAAAGAGCTCAAGCTGAAGAAGTATGTGAGGAGAAGCAAGCTAATAAAGAAAAAATGATATCAGGTTCTATTGGGAAGGGCAACAATCTTTCATCTTTTGGTCTCCGCAATGATGCTCAAAAGTCACAGGACAGGGATTTTGGTCTCAAGGTCCACAGAATTAAAAAGACTTGTAGCTATTCACCAAGCCATGAAAATAATAATATAAGTGTTGATATTGATCAAGAATGCCATAAAGAAGCTGAAAGTGATGTTGCAATCAACAATAATTTGGCTAATAGGCCAGCCTCTATTGAATCCTCACTTACCAAGTTTGTTACTCTGCAAAAGCGGAAGTATGAAAACTTATCTACACCCTTATCTGAAGCCCCTATCTTAAGAAATGAACCGCTTCAACGTAAGTCTGAAAAACAATGATTTGGAATTGCAATTTGCTGCTGTAAGCTCATCCACAAAGGTTCACGATTCTGCTGGGCTTCATGGGAATCAAACATCCAAGCATTCTAAAACTGCAACAGATTTGTATCAAACAAGCAGTCCTCTTCTGAATGATGGTGATGCTTGCATGGAAGGGATAATAGAGGTATGCTAGTCTGTATACTCTTGATGAACCTTTTTGTGAACAATTCAACATTCACACACACAAAAAGAAAAAATACTCCTATTTGTAATGACACCTTTTGTTCTGGATGCTAATCAGATTGCTCCTCGGTTGATAGTTTGTTTCAGAAGTTTGGAAGACTAGACATTTACTATTTTAAAGCTTTAGTTGCACCCAGAGAAAGCGTAGCTGCATCAATAGTAGGATTATATCAGAATTTAAACATGAGATTGGAGACTTTGGAGTTATTGGTGCACTCCATATTGGCTTCAATGGTAGGGTTGTCGGTGGGATGGTGGTGACCTTGGGTGAGTGGTGGGTTTTTTGGTGGAGTGGACGAGAGGGTTATTTCGCTTTGGTGGTGGTGCGGTGTTATAAGGTTTGATTATTGTGGCGGTCAAGGGTCAAAAGGTAATTGGTTGTTGAGGAGTTTGGGGCTTAGGGTGATTCTCTTTAGAGGGGAGGGGGGTGTAGGGAGTAGAAGAAGGTTGGGTAATCACAAGGGTAAAAGGGAAATATTAAATTAGACAAACAAACATCATAAAAGGGAATCAAGGAAGTTGATTACCTTTCCCTTTCTTGGAATTCCTGAACCAAACACACCATTATTCTTTTGACTATGTCTTAATAAATATAGCACCAGTAATCTAATCACTTGTTGACCATGACCTAAGTGGCACTCTAAAAAAAATTGGGTGCAAGTCTCTCCTACTGTGTGTGTCCGTTACTTTATGATGAACTAATTTCCCTTTTTATTTTTTGGGACTCATGAAATGATCTGAATAATGAGATCTATTGTTGAATGCTAACTTATATTTTTTAAAAAAGGAGAATATGAAGAATCAGTATTGTTGACGTTAATAATGTGCAAAACACTTCTTTGTGTAGTGGGTTGCAATGTTCGCTTCGCTAAAATCTGAAGAAAATTGAACTTTACAATGAGTACTAGTAAACTTAATTACCCCTATAACCATGCTGTTTAGCTCACTAAATTGTGAGAGACTTTGGTTTGTAATTGTGGTACTCATGCTGCACTCAAAAGATCTTGTTGTCTTTTTTTAGAATTTTAGTTTGGAAGATCATATCAAGGCAATAAAGCCTAACCTAAAATTTTTGTAAAAAATGCTTAAATGTTTGGTAAAGTGGCAGATAGACACTAACGACATGTTAATTGACATTATCATGACTATATCTTAATCGTCTATATCTTGTGGATAAGCTTAGTAAAGTAAGTGAAGTTGCCATTTAAGGTGGCTCGGGAAGGAGAAAGGAATTTGCAGTAGGTGATGAAGCTAATAATGTAAGGGGGATTGGTGGGGTTGTACACTATAATATTTGATAGGCATATGCTCATATGGATTTTTTTTCCTTCTTTTTTTTAGAACCAAAAGTTGCTTCTTTTCTGTTTACCAAATGTATATATGTCACATGGTTGAAAGGTCCAAAGATGCTACATACTATTGAAAATTGAAGTAATTATCATTTGACTACTTGGCAACTACCTTGGACCTATTGTCCAATATTATTCCTTCACCTGATTAATTTAAAATTGATTTATTGCCTTCAAAGGATTTAGATTCCCTCTAAACTGTAGCAGAGGAGATGCTCTAAAAAAGGGAGGACGATTATATCTCTGCATAAATGAACTTAGGCAATTATATTCACTAGATATTCTTAGGAGTTCATTGCCTAGATAAATCATGGTATCACTGAGTCAAATTGCTCTGCCTAAATATAGTGTTCTGAATGCAATATGGTATCAGATCAGTGTTCAGCATTAGAGGATGTACCAAGAGTTTCCCTGTCTCAATGACTGCACAAGTGTTGCAGAAATGTTTCTTGTACTGAGACTTGGTATGTTTACTGAGATTTAATGCAGATCATGCTAACTTGTTTATTTGATCTTTTGGATTGCTAACTTGTTTATTTATTTGGTCATTTGTACCTTAAAAGCCTCACTTAAATTTCAGGACAATCGGCTTCAGGAAAAAGGAGTGCCTGCTACAGATGTGATCATACTAAGTGAATCAAGGAGTGGAAATCTCAGAAATTGAACTAGAAGAGGCACCACTTGGATCCCAGTCGTTACTAGGTACCGCTCCTCCTTCATCTGCTCCAAAAGCCTCTTCTACTTTGCAATTCAATATGAAGGATCTCATGAAAAGGAGGAAGCAGAAACTATCAATATCTCATTCAAGCTTTGATGCTTTTACTAGGACAACATCCAAAAGGTTTGTGAAGTATCAAATTTGGGAAATTAAGTTTTTTTCCTTATTTTGTCTTTCATAAAGTAATTGATGATATATAGGTGCTATGCTGCTGCGACGCTAGAGCTTTCGCAAGCGGATAATGAAGAGTGGAAAGCTAGGGCTCTTGCTGCTGCAACCACTGAACTAGAAAGGCTTTTTAGGAAAAAAGACTTCGGCAGGATGAAGGTAGAAAAATTGATAGCCTTGTCAGTGGAGTTAAAAGTGTCAGCCTTTAAAGTTTGCTAGCAACCTGCCTATGCTGTTTGATGGGATATAGGGAAGCTATTTCTTTGACCTCTGGGTTGAGGGCCAACTGCTTTTTAATTCTTGTCCATTGTTAGCATGAAGTCCCGTCGGCAAGCATGCGACTTTGAAGTCATGTTTGGCTTCGTCTCAGAGAAAAATAAGTTTATAGTGTTCTCTATGTTATTTATGTTATGTGACCTGGAAGCTTTGGGGTTTTGATGAAAATTTTGAATATAAAACCCAAATATCTGAATCCTATAAATGATGAATCGTTAGGGTTTAAAATGGGTTAATATGCAGGACTCAAAACCAAATATTAATAATACAATTTTTCTGGCTTATAAATACAATAATTACAGCAGGGATTGTTTAAAGATGACTAAAACTCTCTCCATTGCCTACCCACTTCAATTTCTTCCCTTTGTATTGTTTTGTTTGCTGCCAATAACACTGTCATATTTATTAGAGAAATGGTATTGACCTGCCTTGAAACTGATATTTTTTTTTTTTAAAAAAAAAAACACGTAGGTGACATTGAGCCACTTGGTTGACCCAACTCTAAGTTCTGGTGACTGGTGAGGTCATGTATTTCTAAACACAGCTTAAACTACTGATACACCAACTCCGTCTACTGGACATGAAATGGAGAGTACAATGGCATTCTCTGGTGTTGCAACCTTTAATCTGCTTCATCTTTTTGAGCAAGCTTACCCGTTGTTGTCTTTCTATGTGAAAGCTACCCCATTGACTTTGTTTCAACTAATATAGAACTGCTTGTTTGAACAAGGCTATGCTATGTTACGTCTTACCCCTGCTTTACAGTTTACACACCAAACTTCAAATTGGTATTTCTAATACTGTAGCAGGCTGGAACTAACTAGTGTTTTTTTTTTTTTTTATTATTATTTTTTTAATTTTTTTTTTTAAGTATCGAGTAATGATGCATATTGCAGGCAGTTCATTGCATTTTGTTTAATCATGGTTGATTTTCTTGGTATTATATAACCCTTTCAGATTCAATTTTAGGTGATTGGACAATTCAATTTGGGTTTTATTATCGGAAAGCTAGATGAAGACTTGTTTATTGTGGATCAGGTAATTTTGGCCAGCGGACTTTATATCTCTTTTCTTTTACTCTGTCATTAGAATAACCACAGACCCAAAGTTTTTTGTTATTTCAATCTGTATTATTATTTCTAATTTGCTGCAAGATAAGATTTGTATATTTTTTCTTCTTGTTTTTACATGCTTCTGAATTAATGATGTATACATTCAATCCCCAGCATGCAGCTGATGAGAAGTATAATTTTGAGCGCCTCTCAGAATCAACAGTCATGAACCAGCAGCCTTTATTGCGGTAATCTTTTCTGCCGTTTGTAATGGTCCTTGGATAGTGAGACTGATAAATTGGGGTATCTTGAGAATAATTCCCATATTTTACGTGCATTTGTTTAAAATTAGCTGCTATGCTTTTTGAATTGTGAAAGCTAGGAGGCAGGAAAGGAATGTTGCCCCCTAACCCCTCGGGGGAGATGGTTACGAAGGACCTATTTAGTTGATTTCTAAAATCCATTAGAAGCAAGCATCAAGCTTTTGCCAACTGTATCTTGTTTCAAGAGTTTCAGTATCCTTTTCTCTTTTTATTTCTTTTCACCCATTTTATCTAAGTCAAAGATTCTGCTTTATTTACTTAGTAGAGTAGTTCTTGAGCCTCCCATCTGCAGTCACAGTTGCAATAGCAGTATAATATCAAATCCTTGATGGGCTTCAAAGGAACTAATTGTTTCCTCCTGAGAACTAGTTTGAACCCCTTTCTAGCATGAATAGTGTTGGTTTATTACATCTCCACTTTATTGTCATTTACAGATTAAAGGATTGATCATGATAAGTGACAAGATGAGTTCTAGATCGTGTATACAACATGTCATCATTCTTTGACCTCCAACAGTCTAATTTAAATAGCTACCACACATGCATCAATTGCTATTTATTGTGTGTATATCTATTAGTCCAGTCTACTCTTGCTAAAATTTGGACTGGACTGCCAAACCTGACTCTTGCTTGGCCTTCAAATCTGTCGACTTCTTTTCAATAAAGAATCTTTCATTGTTTGGCTGTTGGACGCTATATTAATGCTTGATAAATGTGTTTACGCATCAGACTAACAGCAACTGAATCAAAGTAATTATCAGTTTTCTAACCAAGAATGAAGTTTTCTTGTTACCGGTTTTCACACTCATCTTTCAGATTTTCTACCTTGATAGTTTACAGTGGCTGTCTTTTAGAATTTTCGCTAGAAAAGATTACTGTAGCCTCATCGTCTTTGTGATGAATAGGAATTCAACTATTGTGGATTTCAGCTTGCACAGCAAATTTCAACTCGTTGACCGTGCCTTGTGATGTCGTCTGTTTTGATTGTAGAAAATTACAAGTCACTTGTCTATCTCTTATCGTTGGCTATTGTATGAGCAATTTTGACATTGAGATTGGCCATAAGCCAAAAGTGTAAATTTGATTCCCTTTATCGACTCCAGCAGCCAATAAAGTGCATATTTCTCATTAATACTTTGTGGATATTAGCAGAAGACGTAGATAGTTTCACCATTTGAGCAGTGTGTGACATATTCTTAGAAGGTCAAAATATCTCGCTTGCAGAAGCCTATGAACTCTATCCTTTAATGCAGGCTCCATGAAACCTCTTCCCCCCTTTTTATTCCTATTGTCATTTGTCTTATCTCGGACATGTTCTTTCACCTTTCTTTTCTTTCCTTTTTGTGCTTGTTGGCATTTTAGGGAGATAATTGTGCATATGTAGATGTATATGATTGAAGCTTAAATGATAGTGGCTATACTTGCGTTTTCCCTTAAAATTTCAATGTACATATTATCTCTTTGTTCATGCAGGTCAGTCAGGTTGGAATTGTCCCCAGAAGAGGAAATAGTTACCTCAATGCATATGGATATAATTAGGTAACCTAGATATCTATACCTTGCCTCTGCATCCTCATCTCACTGGCTGTTTGTTTTTTGTTTTTTTTTTTTTTGTACATTCCATTTGATCCAAGTGCCATGTATTTTTTTTTTCAAACTCAATTTTAATATATCACCCTTTCCTTTCAAATCAATAATATAGGCACTAGGCAGTCAACCCTTCTATTGCTTAAGGGTTGATCCATATCCCTCTTGGCTATGGTGTATACTATTTTTGGGGATTTCTAAGTATTTTATGGGAGTTGTTGGGGTGGGGATGGTTGAGTTAGTAAGTGTAATCTTTGGCTAAGTTGTGTCCAACGATCCAACCCAATCTGGAATTCTGGATAGATTTTTGCCCATTATAGACTTAATGGTCCAACTTAAACTGTGCAATGGTGCAATGTACACTATTTTAGGGATTTTCCTTATTTTTTTATCTTCTTTGTGATGAATTGTAATCCGACCACAAATTATATTTATGCCCCTATTAAATTCAGGGTTGATGGAGTTGGGCCTTGTGGCTATTAAATCTACCCTAGCTCTTAGAAAAGGAGTCCAAAATTAACTGGACCTATGACCATTCTGTTATGACAATAACATCATCAGTTTAAAAAAAAAACACTACTTGGAAACTCTCTTTTGTCTCAGTTGATCAGTTAGCTAGAGCATAGAGTATCACTTAATGTATTAAACTTTTACTCCCTTTGGAAGGATTTTTAGATATTCCATGGAAAGAAACTGGAGATTTGGGTTCATTACACTGATGTGTAAGAGAATGGTGAGTGGTGGCCATTAAACTTGCTGCTCTTAAAGTTTAGGCTGGTGAAGTGAGACCTAAGTAAAATATATGTTAAGGCATTTGAAACCTATGGGATAATTTGATAGTTTCATCAGAGACTTAACTCTGTTCAGGGAAGCAATTTATGCTCAAGTGATTGGTCTCTAAAAATTCTATTTATAGGGTTGGACATTAAGGATTAAACAAGCCAGGCAATCTGGCATAGCTGCATTTGTATTTAACTATTAAGTGCACTTATTTTTATTATCTTCTTTATGTACCTTAGAATTTGGGATTACTATCCAATGTCCAATTTTTTTTTTTTTTTTTTTTTTTTTTTTTTTTTTTTTTTTAAATTTTTTTTTTTACAGTTTTGAGGTTTGTTTGTGTGCTTAGGACCCGCTTTATGTGATTCTTTAGCAGAACATATTTGTCGCTTCATCTCGCATTTGGTAAAGACTAGAATAGACCCGGTCTACAATAACTTATTGTAGACCCAACCTTTTAGTATACCATACGAATGTGATTATATTACTACAAAAGTGATTATATCATCCTGAAATTGTTATGTAAATGTATCACTCAAAAAGTAAATTTATCGTTATAAAAAGTATCAAATAGTAAATTACATCATTCAAAAGATGATTTTTAAATTTTATCATCCTAAAAGATAATTATATAATCTCATTAAATGGTTTTAATATGAGATTATATAATTCAAAATATGAGTCACAAAAAGATAATTATATCGTCTAAAAAAGTGATTATATCATCCAGAATGTGATTATATTATTTGAAAGTGTCAAATTTTGGGTCTACAATAATTTATTGTAGACCGGGTCCATACAAGACCAATTGCTCACATTTTAATTGTGATGACTGTAGGAAAAATGGTTTTATCTTGGAAGAGGATCTAGATTCATCCTCAGGCAACCGCTTTAAATTAAAGTCTGTGCCCTTCAGTAAAAATATAACATTTGGAGTTGAAGGTAATGTATTCATACTGCAATGTCGCATTTTTAGTATAAATTGTCACATCCATTGTTCTGCAACCTTCTCAGAAGAAATCTGATCATCAGTACATGAGTACTCACTATCTGACCACCTAACTACCTAAGTCTTTTCTGACTAGGATTATCTATAGCATTTATCATCAACGTTGTCGTTCAAACATCCTGAACTCTTCCATTGAACCTCGAAATACTCTTGCAATACTTGGTTATATGCTCTTTTCATCCTAAGTAGTCATTTACCTGTACCCACCTTTGCCGCTGCAGAACATGGTCTTTAGCTATTAAAAATCATCAGTGGCAGTCTGTGTTGGTTCAGTATCCTCTTCATCTGCTACTTGTCTCAGTACAACTTGAGTTAATTTCTTTCTATCGAATGCTAACAGAACATAGCTTTGTGAGAATAGCATCTCTAGGCCAAGAGCAGCCTTTTTTTTTGCTTTAAGTCTTCAAGAACCCTGTATTTTTAATGTACTTCTTTGGCCACCAGACAACCGTGCATTCTTTCATTCCCCCCCCTCTCTCGCGGGTCTCAATAAGTGTGAAATTTCATGTTAAAAAAAAGCTGACATGTGTTTATCTATGTAGATGATGGATTGATGAGAACATCATCTGAAAGCTACACAACTAAAATCCTACAAGGCTTGCACCCTAAGAAAAAAATCTCTATTAATCATACCTCATGAGTGTTTAAACTGATGAGTAGGCACATAATTATGGACTTAGGTAAGCACCATATTGCCTGGTGCTTGGATTTCTTTTATGTTTCTGGAAAGTCCAAAATTCTTTTTCCAAGTGTTATTAGCACAACTTTTTCCTCTGCTCTACCTTGGCACCATAGAGAGTTTTTAGTAAAGTTTTGAGTATTATGTCACTAAAGCTTTTATCTGATCCATTGGATATAATAAGTGCTATTCTTGTTGCCATGTTCTGTATAACTAGTCATGGCCGAAAGAAAATGTTGTCCTCTGCTAGCTGTACTATAATCAAAGAGTACTCTTAGTTTTCAAGCAATATTTTCTGGGTTTTTAAAAAAATGTCAATTACTTGGCCTTCAGATATTGGGAGAATGAATGGATGATTTTATCATTCTAGAATAATGCTTAACATGTGTCTATCTCTGTTTCTAAGTTTCTTTCGGTGCAGCTTTTGTCACTCTGGATGTTCATAATGTGCTTTCTATTCTAGTACAGATGTAAAAGAGCTCATATCTACTCTTTCGGATGGTCATGGAGAATGCTCGATTATGAGTACTTATAAGATGGATACCTCTGACTCAATCTGCCCCTCGAGAGTACGTGCAATGCTAGCATCACGTGCCTGCAGGTCATCAATTATGATTGGTGATGCACTTGGAAGGAATGAAATGCAGAAGGTAATGTCTGCCGTATTCTGAGAGTGAATTCTCTTTGATGTTTGTTTCTTTATATTTCTTTGCCTGGACTTAACACTTGACACAAGTATTACCTTAAACTTATAATATTTGAGATGGATGATGACCCTGCCAAACTGCGGTCTGGGTAGCTGCAATTTTGTAGGAATTGGAAGAAAATTCTGTAATTTCGTAGGTAGTGTAAGCAATTTTGTAGGAAGTGGAGATCTCTGAAGATGGTAAGCGAGTTTAAAGTAGCAGAGGCTAGATTACTTTTATAATAGGAGAATTGTGATTCCTAGGAATTTCAAGCAGAAAATACAAAGGTTGCTCAAAGCCGGCCGACTAATAGGCAAAAGAAAATCTAGCTTAGTGCGGGTTCCCTGGATGGGCTTCCATATTTGAGCCATGGGGTGTATCTTTAGAGGAAATTCTTCCCCTGGGAAGGCCCCTTTACTTTTTAATAAACTCTCATAATGACGAGTGAAAGGTGCCTTTACATTTTACTGAACTCTCTTAAAACAAGGGCATGCCCCCACTCCGGGTTCCTGAAGCAAGCACTTTGCATACTGTATGAAAGTCTTAGACACGTCAGCTGGTGGAGGTTGTGGCCATGGTCTCTGTTATAGGCCCTTTTTTTTATTTTTTTATTTTTATGTATCTTATATAGGGATTTCTAACTTCTCACTATACCTATTCCATGGGCTGCTCCCTATAAAGGGCGAGGAGCTTGCGATGTCCTGCATAGGAAGAGGCTTAAGCAGAGGCAAAGAAAGAGCTCCTTTTAAACAGTGGGAAGCCATTCTATCCTAAAATGCTTCTTTTCCTCCTTGCCATCACCTGTATATTACTCTATGAATACCAGTATACCGCAACCTGCCTATTAGTGGACACAAGAAGACTTAAACCTGTCTTTGTTTGACTGCTAATTGGTTCTGAGTAGGAATGCGCAAGGCATGCCAACAGTAGAAGACCTCATCTAAAAGCCTTGTCGGACTCTTCCTCTTCATCTGCCTTGGCAATTATGGGATGTCAATTATGGCAAGAAAGACAGCCATTTTAGTGGTCCTAAATGTCGAAATGTGCCCATTATATGGAACTCACACACCCCATTTCCATGAGAGATAGTCTTACTGCATGAGTTCCCAGAATCTGTTATTTGATTAGAGACTGAATATTCAAGAGATTGTCCTGGAAAGAAATTTTCTCAAACTGCAACAAACATCACTAAAGCAAAGCCTAGCCCTAACAGTGCCCCCCCCCCCTCCCCCCAACAAAAAAAAAAAAAAAAAAAAAATAAAATAAATAAATCCTCCGTCTTAAGGTTGAGTTTGGGTGTGATATTTACTCTCTTGCATTGGCATAATTGAATGAAGCTAAATTCTCTTTTAAAAAGCTGAATTTATCCCTTCCCTGCTGCAGCATAGTGAGTTTGTATGATATTTTTAGTATTTCTTGTTATGTGCTTCATTGTGTGATTCTCATGTACAATAACAGATCCTTGAACACTTGGCTGAACTGAAGTCTCCATGGAACTGCCCACATGGAAGACCAACCATGCGCCATTTAGTCAACTTGGGTGTAATTTACGAGAGAGAAAATCCGGAAATTACTAGTTTGTGATGGACATTGGTGGTATTTAATCTCTCCAGTCTCAACTAATGTGATGCAATTTTGTCAGTTGCCATGTACAGTTTTGTAAAGATAACGTACTTGGATCCGAAATGCATGGATAATTGATCAATATTTCTTAAGAAAGTGTGTCAGGCATATAATTTGTTGAATATTTGATAACCCTGCTTTTATACCATTAAGGCATCAAATTTGCCCAAACTCATGTCTAACGTTGGTGAAATATTGAAGTAACTGATCAAGGTTATGAGAATCAAGAACTTACGTTCCTTAGGAAGAAGACCAGGAAGGCAGCATTGTATATGGGGTTGATCAACTGGGAGCATATAGTTGCAGTTTTTTCATTACTCTTCCGGTATTCGGAACAGCAGGAGCCACTTAACAAAACAATAGTGATAGAAAGCTGTGGAAAAACTACTGGGTTATATGCGTTGCAGGAGCCAGTTTTTTTATGAATGTATCTGAATTTTCGCAGGCTAGCACAATACGTGCAATGGAGACCAGCAAATCCGATACAAGTCATACAAGATTGGATTGAATTTTTGTTTTTAGACTACTGCATAAATGAGTTTTAGTTGTAAATTTCACTAACTAGTGGCTGTATATATATTACTCTGTGATTAAAGTTTTAGTTCCCTCTTTGACTTTTCGCACTATTTACATGTCTTATTACCTTTGACCAATACTTTGAATAACATTATTAAAATTGGATGGACACTAAATAAAAATCCTTGAACTTTTGACAGATTTACATAAGCTCATAAACTGTTTTTTCCCCCTCTTTTTTAATCGTCACAATGCATTAGAAAAGTAAATTATAGTTTTTTTTTTTTTTGAAAGAAGTAAATTATAGTTATTTATCAATTAAGATGTCTTTAGTTCGACTAATTCGTAATATAAACAAAAAAAAAAAATCATAATTATTGGCAGGAGAAATAATAAATAGTGTGAGACTGATATAAGTTAGAACAAGTTAATAGATACGTCATTGGGAAGAAAAAATAGATAGGGATTGACTCAAGATAATGTAAAGGAAAGGAAGTGAGTAATATATTTATCAAGTGAACCCCCATCATAATCTCAGCGAAGCACATTTACCATGAACACCACTCTAAGACCAACCCAAAGCACATTTGAGAAAATTATGAATTATTTCAAGTAATCAATTGCTATCATACAATAACATAATGTTGAAACTATGAACTAATCGAAGAGATTATAAACTAATATGATCTTAAGCTTTAGCAAGGGATTTAGAACTTAAAAATTGTCATGACCTTCACAAAAATAAGCTAATGTTTTAAACTACGTAGTATAATGAATGAATTGAGATAAATACTAGAAAATTGCAATTGCTTATTGCTCTAAACTAGAACATAATTATACTTGAGTAACGATAATGGCTTAACTACACAAGCTAATGTGTAAACCTTTCTTGACACAATGACACCTATTGTTTATCAAAATCAATGAAATGGCGGTATATGATGTTCTCTTAAGACTGCAAAACATGAGACTCGTGTCCCTTTTTAATGGAAATTGTCCATATTAGATCTGCATCAGAACGAACAGATACAATATCTCCAGTCACTATGTTTGATGTACTTAACAAACCGCCAAACATCATCTCCGTGTCATCTGAAAAAATCAGAGGAAAATTGTGTTAAACAATGTAAAACATACAGACCACCGAAAGAGTATATAAACTACAGAGATAAGCAATATACACATTACACACATGTTTATCTCTTGTATCACCAGAGCTATTCAATTGTACCAACCACTCACAATTAAGGGTGTGACGGGATGTTTCAGGTCCACAGTTCAATAATAAATCATTACTGCTATACAAGGCAATCTTCGATAATTCTAAAATAAGATGTGGATCAATTCTGAACAAAGGGAGCAAATGAATTCAATAGACCTGCTTAGCACATGCTAGTCTTTAAGTTGTTAACTTCCCTACTTCCCAATAATAACTTCTCATGCATGGCAGTGTCATCTGCCGACAAAACCTGGACTACGCATGACTACCATTCATTACATAAGAATGGCACTAAAAATCATTCCTGAAGAATGACAATTACTTGACAATAGTCTGTAGTACCTTAGGCAGCAAAATTTAGTTCTATAATCTATTATAGGCATATATAAGTAGTTCACATAGATACCGAATACGGTAATTCCCAAGTAACTTCTACAGCCACTTTCGTAGAGGATAAAAGAAACAGGGGAAACATGCTGTTGGTTTAATAATATCTCTTTCCAAATAAGGCAAATTATAGTAAGCTAAGGGAGATATAAAGAGCAACATACAAAGAAAGTCTTGCATCATTATTTGAAGTTGTTACACACAACACACCCACTCAGAGCAAGTAAAAAGAGAAAAGTCTTGCATCATTATTTGAAGTTGTTACACACAAAACACCCACTCAGAGTAAGTAAAAGAGATATTCTATAATAAGGGTGATACAAAATTAAGACTTCTTACTCCATACAGAGGTCATACCATAAAACCACTTGAGCTAATACGAATAAATTTTTTTTTTTTATTGCATACAGTCATACAGAGTATCATACCATAAAACCACTTGAGCAGTTGAGCTTAGTTAAGGTGATACGAATTTAAGAGATCATAAGGTTACAAAGTTCTAATACGGGCTAATAAATTCAATTTGCAACTAAAGTAAGTTTAGCCATGGCAGATAAATTCATATAAATTCAAACTAGGTCTAATAGTTCATACAATTATATTAGATACATTCAAGCAAATCTAAGAGTTATCAAAACAGGAGGGTAAAAAAAGTCAATCAAAACCAAGAGAAAAATGAATGTAGCAAATTGATTGACATGCTATTTAGAATGAGGATCTTGATTGGGCTAAAATCAACTGAGTTATGTGAACACCTAATACGAATAGCATTTCTGCTATTTGCAAAGTTCATGGCTTCTCTCTTCAATGATGTACATTCTAATACACTTCATGTCTCATATATGGGTGCAAACAGAAGCAAATGCAAGATAAGAGGAAAGAAAAGGGAACTAAATGAGATAATATTGACCAATAAGTTAACATTTACTCAGCAAAAACTAATTACGACAATAACAGAGAAACCAAAATCCCAAAATGAACCATGCAAATAGCGCACAAACATCTACTTACTGAGGTTCCATTTCAATCCAGAGGTTGTGGTATGAAAAGCAGGC